CACCCCTCGGCCACCCGCGCGGCGCGCTCCGCCCACGCAGCCGCCTGGGCCCCTTGCCCTGCGCGCCCAGGTCCGCGCCGTCCGGTGGCAAGCTGCAGCCTGCAGCCCGCGGCGCTCTGGCGGTCGCGTTAAAGAGCGGAGAGCAACAGGTGCAGTTCCCGGAAGCCGTTACTCAGTGGGACGCCACACATCCAACAGGTTCTTTCAGTGTCCAGTCAGTACTCTTACATGACTGAGGTGCCTGGTTCTTTGTTTCTGCCGCCCAGGTGCAGCGCGCGGCCGGCAGCACCCCTCACTGCCCTGGCCACATTCCAGTGCGCAAGAGCCGCACGTGCCTACTGGCTGCCATACTGGACGGCGTTGGTCTAGAGGCTTCCACTGCCTGACGGGTAAGGTGGCCCCAGTCAACCCTGTTTCTTTTCTTTTTTTCTTTTGCTTAGTGGGGAGGGTGGTGTGGTAATCCCGCCTGCTCCTTTTCGTGCCGTTATAACTAAAGTTGTAGCCACCCTCACCAATCAGGTGCCTGCAATCCATTAGCGCCCTATGGTTTTTTTTGTTTTGTTTTGTTTTGTTTTTTTATTTTTTTATTTTACCTTAAGACAACCTTTGTCTTCCTTTAATATCAAAAAAGACTACGAAGTAGATCACAAATTGCCCCCAGATTAGCACCTTTGGTCCATTTTTACCAAGTGTATGACAAATGACCGCCTTATTAATACCTCTTTCACTTTCAAAATAGCAATTTAAAAAAATATATAATACTGTGTGTTGGTTATATCACTGGCCAGCATCCACACGCTAAGAAAAAGAATTCTTTCAGGTCAATCTCAAGTGAATAATATTTTCAGCTGTTATCAAAATGCTTAGCTTTGTCTTTCTTGTCGTCCGGGGAAATCCCTTCCTTGGTTCTTTGAGTGATCCAGTAGCTGATGGTTCTCTCTCCAAATCTGAGAAACTGGTGGCATAAGGACTGGCCCAGGCCAGAAAGCAGGGCTGCACTGCCCTAGTCACTGGCGTGTTCTTTTCTAAGCTGGCTACTTTTGAAAAGCATGTCCTAGTAATCTCCAACACGGTTAGCTTTCTCCCACAGTCTATACCTCTTCTCAGATTGAGAGACGAAATGGGTCTCCGCCTTGTAAAGACAGAGTCTGAGCAAGAGACTCCCCAAGCAGCCCGAGGAGGAACAGAGCCTTAACTGCCTCCAGAGAGGGAAAGTAGAGTGGGGAAGGAGGGGCCCCGGAGAGCTCTCCTCTTTAGGCAGGTGCTTCTTTTCTGAGCATGTAACATTTACCCCGAATGTAGTAGCCCTTGCAGGAAATTTGCACCATCTTGGGCTACCCTCTGAGCAGTAGTTAGTTCTGCGCGAAACAGGAATATACCTCTTGCAGCTACCCCTCAGCCCCCACCTACCCTCTGCCTGGGGGTTGGTCCAGTGAGCAAACAGGAGTCTGCCGGGCCTGGGGAAGCTGGTGGCACATCCACGGAGGACATTTGCTTGTCTGCCACAAGGAAGAGCTGGGGTAGGGGCCATTCCTGTCTCTCTCTTGTTGAACCAGCAGTGCTGGGCAGGCACCTACTGTGTGCCAAGCCCTGGGGTAGTAGGCATATTGTATGGGTTATGATCCCATTTTACAGATGGAGAAACTGAGTCGTGTTTATGTTGTTTGCCCTGGGTTGGTGAGTGACATTTCTGTGTTTGGGCTCATGAATTTCTGCCACTGTTTTCCACACTTTGAAAACTGGCGTGGGGAGAAAACCAACAGCGTCCCATATTCATTTTTGGGTGGAGTGGAAAACTAATCTTGTAAAAGAAATGCGGCTGGAGCATTCTCAGTACCTGGGAGCTGGGTTTGAAAATCACTTTGTCTCTCTCTTGGGGAGCAAACGAGGTCAGGGTTTCTGTGGAGGGTGGCTGAACCCCCCCCCTGGGTTCCTCTGCCCTCTATCCTGTCACCGGCACCACGAGAGGTACACGGACTCGGTCACCCTGCTCGTCTCCCTCTTGCGAAGCCACTTCGCATCAAGAGCAGGAAAGCACAGGAATTCCTACTTACAAGCAGGAAAAGGAAAAGTTGGCCCAAAGTGTGAGGATCAGCTTTCCATCTGCCACCCACCGCCACCACCGCTGCTGTTCACAGTCCTGCCCCCTCCCCTCGTGCGAACATGACCCACCTTCATAGTTTGGCACGAGGCCGTGCCGAGCAGTGTTCACCGGTGGCTCGGAGAGGTTTTTAGCTGGAGACGGGCTGCTAGGCACTAGGGGGTTGGCGTAATGCCACTGGCATTCACCACTGGCTGGCAGGGTGCTCAGGAAAAAGCGTGCCACCTCACACGGGGATCCTTGGGGCTGCCCGAATTTGGCCGGCAACATTGGCTTTTTGCTGCTGAAGACGTGAGAGTCCAGAGGGAAGTGTCCATAATGGTAGGAGAAGGGCAGGCTGTAGGACGGGGCGTACAAAAGGTCGCTGCTTTCTGAATGGAGCTGCTGTTCTGGGGGCGCCGGGGCGTTCGCCGGGGGGCTGGCTCTCCAGTTTCCCAGCTGGCTGCATTCCAGTTTGTCCATTTGGAACGAGCTGTATTGCTGTTTGGCAAAGAAGATGGATGAAGGGGCCAGTGAGAAGCTGCCCTCCGGCCTCACCAGACCCCACCCTCTAGGTTTCAACCGCATCCCTGGGCTGGGCCTACCCTGGCCACTGCTGTGAGGTCCCCGTGGGGACAGGTGCACAGCAAACAGTACCACAGTGACCCTCCCCCTGCATGGAACGAGCTCTCCCCAGCCCAAGCTGACCACATACCAGATACACATAGGCACTTTCTCTTTCTGAGACGTTACAAACTACTTTTTTTTTAAAGGAAGGTTTTCATTAAAAAACAAATGCTATGGAAACACGATGCACTGTGCTCTAAGCCACATTAACGTGGATTCCAGCAACATGAGGTGCCTTCCTAATGCAGTCTTTTGTCCTAGACCCAACGAGTCCTCCCACACGTTAGCTTTGCGTGCCTCCAGGCTGTGTCTCTGCTGTGTGTGTGGGACATCCCCAGGGGACTCGGCCGCACCGCACAGGGAAACTTCTGGGCCGGGAGACCCGCTCTGCAGTCAGAGGCTCGGCATTCCCAGACGGGCTGGGGGTCCTGAGCAGCCCCCCGGGCCAGGTTTCTGCTGCACCCTGCCCCAGCAGGTCCCACGTGTTACCTGTAGGGGGTAAGGGTTTGTTCTCAGCTTTGTCTTCATCTTCGTATTTTTGGGTTTAGCTAATTTCCTAGTTTCTTGTGAGGTAGACAAGGCAGTCCTCCAGGAGTCCTGGCACTTGGACGTAGACACCTGGTCCAGGGACAACTGCAGTTCCTTGTATTCGATATCCCTGAGAAGCAAGGGCAGGACAAATCATGTCCAGCAGGCTGCCCCGGAAGAGCGGCTTCCCTGGCCCGCACCCCCGAGCGAGCGCATTCAGAGCTCCAGCACAGCGGCTCACTGAGGTTGGATGGGACAGGACTTGAGCAGAGGGCAGGCCACCCTCATGATAAAAGCCCCCCCACCCCCAAAGGCTTGGGCAATGCTGAGTGAGGTCAGTGTTATCCAGCAGGAATAGCGGGGGGGGGGGGGCGGTCACTGTAGCTCTCTCGCATCCTGTAGCTCCCAAACACATTTCCCTGGGACACCATGGGCCACGAGGAAGTGTGTCAGGGCAAAAGGAAAGGGCAGAAGCATTACTTATCAGTTTGGGTATCTGGGACTCAGCTGCTTCTTTAGTTAGCACCCAGGGGGGCGTGAGTGGGGGACCGTCAAGGGTCCGGGAGCCTGGCTGCCAGCCTAGCACATTTCCACAACAGGCGCCGGTTTCTGCCCTAAAGAACTAACTCAGCATGGTTGTGTTCATGGTTGGAGGGGGTGAGGAAGCTGCCCAAAGTACCAGCCCACACCTGTCTGCTTAGGAAGAATCATTAAGGGGCTAAAATGCTTTCTTCCCTACAGTTTTGCTAAAATCACACTCTAGTTCTAAAAAAAACAAAACCGAACCAAGAAACCAGGGACCTGGCAATCATTCTGTGAAAGAACTGAGAGCCTAAATCCTTACTGCCTTAGAGCACACTTGAGGACCTTGTTCAGGGAGGGGCTGGGGGGCTGCAAGGGTATCAAGTTCAGGGCCAGAGCTGGGTGCAGGTGATTTCACATACAGTAGCCATGGTGGGTCCACAGTAATATATGGTCCTAGGGAGACTCATGTCCTCTTGTGCCTAATGGTCTTAAAAGTATTTGCAACTGAACTTGACCTTCTGGGATTCTAAAGGGGCCATTCATCATCATCTGCAACGGGCTATACAGAAAGACAGGGAAAAAATGCAAGATATCTCCTGTCCCGCACGGCAGGAGCATGCAAGATGACCCTGATGTTTGTGGGCACAAAGAGCATAAATTTATATTCCTGATGTACAGCCTATGCAAGATGGAGGGAGAGGACATCTCCCACCTGTCCCCCGCCCCCCCCACACCCCTCAGCTGGTCTCTGTGATCTGATCTTCAGCTGTACCTGGGGCAGGGCTCCCTTTCTGGTGTTCCCCCCCCCACTGCCTAGCATCTGGCTCTCTGTGCTGAGTACAGAAATAGTTTGGACCTTCCCAAATGAACAGATTGTTCAAATAAAAACAACAGGAGACAAATGAACAGTTTCGGAAAGAGAGAGAGAGAGGTAGAGATGGTGCTTGTGGGAGCGGGCTGATGAGGGACAGGGGAGGAGGAGAGAGCAAGGAAACAAATACGTCTGACTTACGTGAGGACATAATTGACACTCACGATGCAGTGTGGCCGGGACGAGCGGCTGTTGTGCACGACAGTGGCGTAGCTCTGCACCCACACCCAGCCACCCAGCTTGGACAGCAGCCGGTAGTACTTGGTGGTGACCTGGCCCTTCACCAGCACTGCAAGCACAAGGTGACATGAATCCCGAGGGACAATTAGCAGGCCCTGCTTTGGGGACACTGCCCCCATGGATAACCTGCAGCCCCAGTTCTGGACCTTTTGGGGGTCAAGGACACCTCTGAGAACTTGACAAAGGAATGCGCTTTCTCCACGGGAAGGTGCATGCTTGCACGCACACACGCACATGCACACGCACATGCAAGATTTTTGCCTACGATTTCAAGGGGTCCGAGGAGCAATCTCTCCCTTCCCCTGTCAAATTTAATAGGCACTGATTTCATTGGGAAAAACAATTAGTCCCCGTACATTTGCACCTGGCAGAGTGATAAAATTGGTTCTGCTTTTCAGTTTCCCAAATGCCACGATTATGTTATAATCCCCCAAACCCTTAATCCCCAAAACCCTTAATAGGCACCAGGGGGAGGGGGTGATGTAGTTATTTAAACAAAATAATAAGTACATTCAACCAAGTGTCAAATTGTTGATATTTGCTGCTCTCCAGAACATGTGTGTATTCACAGTGAGACTGCTGTTCTGTTGCCTTTTATATTTTCTTTCCATTAGCCCCACTTTTCCTCTGGCCTGTCAATTTCCTGTGTTGCATATGTAGGAAAGAACTCTCTTGGCTAGTTTCTGAACACTGGGCAGATGGGGCCATCTTCCATGCATGGGTGCAAACTCCGGAGTGCTGAGCCACGCTCACTTCCAAAGCCTCTGTACTGATTTCCCTCAGGGCCTGGAGGGTACAGGCTGGAGGGGAAAGGAAGTGCCAGAAGCTTTGGGTGGGCAGTGGAGAGGAGAAAGTCCCAGTTAGTCTTCTGCACGGAGGGGGAGGCCAGCACAAATCTAAAAGGCATCCCTTGATGCCCAGGTCATGGCTATCGGGCATTCCTGCTTTTCAAAGCAGGGCTGGGCCCAGGGCTCTAACTAGCAGCCACCTGAGCAGAGATTTGCGGAGGTGGCCAAATTCTGTGCCTGCACTAGTTGGCACTGAAGGAGCCCCCTGGGGGCCCTCATCTTGTACCACTAGGCAGAGCCCCCTCACCATCTGCCCAAACCTTCCTGGGGCTCTCCACTGCTTTTGTGGCTTCTTTTTGTATTAAGGGTGCTTCTTTATCATCCACTTTAACACCTGCAGTAAAATATTCCGGTGCAGAAGAAAAATTACTGCAAATATGATAGTCAAAGAGCTACTAACCTTAATATAGAAAGAGTTCATACAGATCAATGAAAACAGTAAGACCCTAAAAGTTATATGAGAAAAGGACCTGAACAAACAATTCATCAAAGAATATAAATGATAAACAAATGTTCAATGTATTTGCTTAACTCAAAGCTAGATACCATCCATTAAATCAGCAGACATTTAAAAAGAAAAAAAATATTGTATGGTTCCATTTATGTGAACTGTCCAGAATAGGTACATTTATAGAGACCAAAAGCAGATTAGTGGTTGACAGAAGCTGGGGATGAGGAGGACCAGGAGTGACTGCTGATGGGTACCAGGGTTCTTCTTGGGATGAAGAAAATGTTCTGGAATTCAGTAAAGGTGATAGTTACACGACATTGTAAATATACTGACAACCTCTGAAAATGGTTAAAATGGTGAGTTTTAGACTATGTGGATTGTATCTCAAAGAAAATAATGAAAAGACAACAGGTGATGTCAACTAATCTATTGTGGGAGGCATTCTCACGTGTTGATAGAAGCATGGGTTGGTACGGTCCTTCTGGGAAGCAGTCTGACGGCTCATATGCATTGACACACTGACTTCACTTCCAATAACTAATCCTATTATAAGCAGTCCTGCTTATAATTCTGGAGAAAAAGGAGGGGGAGACCTGGCTGCCCAAGAATTAGGGAAGATGGTAAATAAATTTTGGAGTACTATGCAGCTATTGGAATAATGATTAATAAGAATTTGTAATATAATGGGGAATCTGTATGGTATAATGATAAATGAAAAAAAGACATTCAAGACCACAGAAATACAAAGATCATATGAGACTGCTATGAACAATTACATGCCAACAAATTGAACAACTTAGAAGAAACGGATAATTTGCTGGAAACATAAAACCTATGAAGACTGAATGATGAAGAAACAGAAACTCTGAACAGGACTGAAGGGATTGTAAGGGGATTGAATCAGGGATCCAAACCTCCCAACAAACAGAAGTCCAGGACCAGATGGCTTCACTGGTGAATTCACCAAATGCTTAAAGAAGAATTAATACCAATCCTTTTCAAACTCTTCAGAAAATCAGAGGAGGAGGGAACACTTCCAAACACATTCGTGAGGCCAGCATATCCCTGACACCAAAACCAGACAAGGATACCACAAAAAAAGGGGAAATTACAGGCCAATATCTCTGATGAACATAGGTGCAAAATCTTCAACAAAATACTAACAAACTGAATTCAGTACATTAAAATGATCACACACCAAGATCAAATGGGATTTACTTCCAGGATGCAAGATGGTTCAATATCTGCAATCAATCGATAGGATACACCACATTAACAAGGTGAAGGATAAAAATAGATGCAGAAAAAGCATTTGACAAAATTCAACACCCATTTATGATTAAAAAAAACACCTCTCAAAGTGGCAATATAAATGTCCACTGCACATAATAAAGGCCATCTATGACAAGTTCACAGCTAACACCACACTCAACAGAGGAAAGCTGAAAGCTTTTCCTCTCAGATCAGGAACAAGTCAAGGATGCCCACTCTCACCACTTTTATTCAACATAGAATCAGAAGTGCTAGCCTGAGCACTTAGGCAAGAAAAAAAATAAAAGAATAAAAGGCAACCCAAAAGGAAAGAAAAAGTAAAACTGTCAGTATTTGCAGATGACACATTATATACAGAAAACCCTAAAGACTCAATCAAAAAACTCTTAGAACTAATAAATGAATTGAGTAAAGTTGCAGGATATAAAATCAACATACAAAACTCTCTTGAGTTTCTACACATTAATAATGAGCTATCAGAAAGAAAAATTAAGAAAACAACCCCATTTACAAATTACATAAAAAAGAATAAAATACCTAGGAATAAATTTAACCGAGAAGGTGAAAGACCTATACCCTAAAAACTACAAGACACTAATGAAAAAACTGAAGGAGACACAGATTAACGCAAAGATATCCCATGTTCATGGAGTGGAACAATTCATATAAAATATCCATTCCACCCAGAGCAATCTACAGATTTAATGCAATCCCTTTCAAAATTCCAGTGTCATCCTTCAAAAAAAACCAGAACAATCCTAAAATTTGTATGGAACCCCCAAAATTCCTTAAAAGATGAAAAGCAAAAATAACAAGTGGTATTACATCTCAATAAAAAGTTTCTGCACAGCAAAGGAAACCATCAACAACATGAAAAGACAACCTACCAAATGGGAGAAAATATTTGCAAATCATATATCTGATAACTTTCTCATGCACCTATTGGCCAAGTTACTAACTAACAAGTTACTAACGCCCTGTGGCTCAGTTTCCCCATTTAGAACAAGAGGATAATCATACTCCCTACCTCACCCGGCTGCTGGGAGGATAGATAATCTGTGTGAAGCTTCAGAACAGCGGTGCAGACACAGAGCAAGGACTCGATATATGTTAACTCTCATTATCTGACTGGTCAAATTACAAGGAAGTTTCATTTTCTTCTTCTCAGCTTTTCTTGATTGTCTACATTTCCAGCAATAAGGAGGTATTCGTTTTTTAATAAAAGTGAACAATTATTTTTCCCATGGCTAAGTAGTGTTGGGGGGTAGTTCGGGAAGTGGAAATGCAGCACGCCTCGGGCCCCATGCCCCTTACTTAGCCGCACGACGGCCATCCCACCCAGACGAGGGGCAGGGCTCCCCGGGACAGTGCAGACACGAGCTCTCTTCTCCCCGGGCTTGGCACATGCACCTGCGTGGGCTCCCTCGGCAGGAGTGAGATTCCCTGCCGAAGAGCGCAGACAGAGGTAGTAGGAAAGAGCTCTCTTTACAATGCTTCTCCTCTTGGGGTTTGCTTTTTTAACAGCAAAATCCAGTTTCTATTTCCAGCTCAGGTTTGCATGCATGGCTTCATTTCAGCCCCCTACAACCATGGGAGGCAGGCATCACTGGGAAAGTGGGGCCAACAAGTCTTACGGGCACAGCTGGGGCCCCAGGCTGGGTGTTCTGATGACTCCCTTTTCTCAGAGTGACCCCTGTGGGAGGAGGGGCAGCAGCCTCCAGAAGGTTCTCTGTAGCTACATTGAAAGGAGAGGTGGAAGGAAGGTTAAGGGAGACTCAACCAATTTGCTTTTGGCCCCAAATGAGATGTGAGAAGATCCAACAAGGGTCCCATGTGTGGATTTCCCAAGCGGCCATTCCTTCTTCAACAGAAGTGCTTATGAAGCAACTCAGCTTTGAAATCTGTTCCTAGTGGTATCTGGAGTGCCCCCGGCGATAAGACCACATGCTTTTCCTTTTTCCTATATTGTCCCTTCCTTCCTTCCTTCCTTCCTTCCTTCCTTCCTTCCTTCCTTCCTTCCTTCCGAGAGAGAGAGTGAGTGCGCATGTGCAGTGGGGAGGGGCAGAGAGAGGAGAGAGAATCCAAGTGGACTCCACACTGAGCGTGGAGCCCAACATGGGACTCAATCCCATGACCCCGAGATCAGAACCTGGGCTGAAATTAAGATTTGGAAGCTTAACCAACTGAGCCACCCAGGCGCCCCCATACTTTCCTTATTTCTTACAACATTCCTAAAACCTATCCATAATCATCTAAGCCAGATACAATAAAGCCAGTTTATTCCAAATATTTTATATTAGGATTCCAATGGCAGAAGTTGCAGAGATTTTATTATTTCTGACCCTCCCTGCCTCTGTTGTGATGGGACTTAGATACGGAGACCAAACAGACATATAATTTTTTTTTTTTTTTTGCTTCCCTATGACCCATGGTGAGAGTCCACATATCAATCCAAGTTGAAATCCTAGACACTTACAA